GTGACCTCTCGGCGCAGGCTCAGGGTCCGCAGGACAGGGTAGCCTCCCGGCACAGCTGTGTGCCAGCGCTGAGCAGGGCCCTGCCGTGTGGCTGTGGACACAGTACATGGGCCTCAAACATTTGATCCACACCCTGGGCGTGGTCCTTACCTGTCTTTCTCCTGAATGTCTTGGTCACTGTAATCCCTGGCTTCTATTTATTTATTTTATTTATTTATTTTTGGCTGCGTTGGGTCTTTGTTGGTGCGCGCGGCCTTTCTCTAGTTGCGGCGAGCAGGGGCTGCTCTTCGTTGTGGTGCACGGGCTTCTCATTGTGGTGGCTTCTCTTGTTGTGGAGCACGGGCTTTAGGCACGGGGGCTTCAGTAGTTGTGGCTCGCGGGCTTCAGTTGTTGTGGCTTGTGGGCTCAGTAGTTGTGGCTCGTGGGCTCTAGAGCACAGGCTCTGTAGTTGTGGCACATGGGCTTAGCTGCTCCGTGGCATGTGGGATCTTCCCAGACCAGGGCTCGAACCCATGTCCCCCACATTGGCAGACGTATTCTTAACCACTGCGCCACCAGGGAAGTCCCATCCCTGACTTCTAGATGGAGGGGGCGCCAGCTGGGGAACCCTGGGGCAGAGACGCCTCTTCCCAGCCCCAGCACTAAGAGATGATATGCTGGCTGAGAACAGGCCAGAAGCTGGTTGGTGAACAGGGCTAGCAAAGCTAGGCTCAGCTGCCCAGACCTCGCCCTGACGCGGGCCCCTGGACTTGCACCAAGCTCTGTCTCTGCCGACCAGAAGCAGGTCTCACCTTCACTCAGGCCACCTTCAGCATCCTGGGGGCCCCTCAGCATTCCCACAGTCTCCTGGGGGATTTGCATCTGGGGGAAAAGCCTGATTCACAGGAAGGTATCTTCTGAGAGGACTCCAGGCCACCACCCCACAGCCAGCCGTTCTGATGCGTAGGGGCCTACAGTCCTTCCAGGTGGAGGACGGACCCCGAGAGCAGCTCCTGGAGGTGGCTGGCAGGGTCCTGGGGGGGGGGGAGGGGCTGCTGGGAGGAAGAGCTAATGACTGTGTCTGGGCTGAGATGCAAGGGCTGCCACACTCGTGGTGTCCTCAGCCCCAGCTACCTGGCTCCTGTCCCCAGGCCGGCGGGCCGGGGAGACCCCTCAACCCCCACAGAGAGGCTCACTGCTCTCCAGCTGCAGGGCCCCCGGTCTTGTTGCCCACTGCTGCACACCCCGGGGATGGGCTCCAAGAACGTCACGGAAGGCGGGGTGTGCGCGGGGGCTGGGCCCAGCCCCCTAGGCCCTGAAGTGGGTCCAGGGGAGGGGTGGGGAGCACTGCTGTCCAGGGAGGGTCCCCCGTAGCCCTTCTCGTGGGAGAGGCTCTCCTGGCTACAGGGTCCCAGACAGCAGGCCCGGCTGCAGGAGGAGCCTGGCAGCCGCACGGGGCTGTGCGTCCTGCTCCCACATCAGTGTGTCCCCAGCCTGCCATCCGGCCAGAGCTCGTCTCGGGGGACCCAGGTCCACAGGTCCTTGACACTTACCCGCGTGTCTGCTGATTTCCCCCCCAACATCCCCCAGGCCTGTGCCGCTCTGCCTTCCATCACCCCACCCCTTCCTGCCTCCAGCCTCAGCCCAGCCCCCCGGCTGACTCTGGCTCCTTCCCCGTAGCCCCCCAGGGTAGGCACAGGCCTCTGTGCCAGGGCAGGCCTGTCTCAGCCCCTGATCTGCAATATCAGATCGCCCCAGGCTCCAGCAGCACCCGCCCGCCAGCTTTGCCTACCTGGTCCCCTCTTTGGGGGGCACCCCCACCTGTGTCCAGTCCCCGATGACTCCAGAGGCTGGGCCCTGGGGGCTGGGGCAGGTGTGGATCCCGGACTGGGTCCCCAGCACCGGGAGCCAGGTGTTCCTTCTCCCTCTCACCTGCGTGGAGTGGGCCTCTGGGGCCTGACCCATGGTGGGCAGGGCTTGCTCGGGGCTGGGCCGGTGTGGGGACCGCCAGGCCTGCCCTTTGCAGCGAGTACTTTAGTGGCATCAGCTGAACCCAGGCCCAGCAGCTGCTCCTGTTCCCCACCCAGTGCTCTGGGGGCCTTCCCCATGCGGCCCAGGGAGAGCAGCCATGGGGACTACTCACTGTCAGGTACCAGGTGCCCTTGACCTTGGGGTGGTTGCTTCCCAGGCAGTGCCAGCCCCCAACCCACCTCGGACCCGACAGTGTGCATCACCTGGTTGGGGTGGCGGGAGGGTCAGGGCAGGCTGCAGCCAAGATGTGGCCTCCATCTCTGTGCCCTCCCAGTCTGGGCCCGGACCAAAGTCCACCACTACGGCATCTCCACAGCAGCCAACGGCAGCCTCCACCTGCAGAAGGACCAGCTCGTCCCCAGCCTGGAGGAGCTGCTGGCCTATTACAAGGCCCACTGGAAGCTGATCCAGAACCCACTGTTACAGCCCTGTGTGCCCCAGGTGGGCCCATGCCCACCCCCCTACCTGCCAGGTTGCCCCTCCTGAGACACTGTCCAGCACACATCCAGCTGGCCCGCTGTGACCCTGGGTGCTGCTGGGGGGGACCTGATGAAGCCTGGGAGCACCAGGTGCCCCAGTGACTCCTCCACGCTCTGGTTCATCCCTGTGGGTTATATTTCTTTTTAAAAATTTTAATTAATTTTTGGCTGCGTTGGGTCTTCATTGCTGTGCGTGGGCTTTCTCTAGTTGTGGCGAGCGGGGGCTACTCTTCGTGGCAGTGCGCGGGCTTCTCATTGCGGTGGCTTCTCTTGCTGCAGACCATGGGCTCTAGGCACGCGGGCTTCAGTAGTTGTGGTGCACAGGCTCAGTAGTTGTGGCATGCGGGCTCTGGAGCGCAGGCTCAGTAGTTGTGGCTCACGGGCCTAGTTGCTTCGCGGCATGTGGGATCTTCCCAGACCAGGGCTTGAACCCGTGTCCCCTGCATTGGCAGGTGGATTCTTTTTTTGTGTGTGTGTGGTACGTGGGCCTCTCACTGCTGTGGCCTCTCCCGCTGTGGAGCACAGGCTCCGGACGCGCAGGCCCAGCGGCCATGGCTCACGGGCCCAGCCACTCCGCGGCACGCGGGATCCTCCCGGACCGGGGCACGAACCTGTGTCCCCTGCATCGGCAGGCGGACTCCCAACCACTGCGCCACCAGAGAAGCCCTGGCAGGTGGATTCTTAACCACTGAGCTGCCAGGGAAGTCCAGGTGTTATATTTCTATGGGATTCTCTGGGGTGGGGGGAAGATGAGGCCCGTAGGATGCCCTCCCACCCCGCCCAGCCCTGTAGAGCGGGCAGGAGGGGAGGGCAGGTTGGGGAAGGCGCCCACGGCAGCCCCAGGCCAGTGCGGAGGCTGTGGGAGGAGATGCCAGTGGGGATGGCACCACACCTGCGCTGGAGCCGTGGTGCCTGCGCCTGTCCCAGGTGAGCAGTCCTGCTGGGGGGCTGGGCAGCCATCTGGTTCCTCTGGTCTCTTAGTGACAGTCTGGACAGGGGCAGTAATGAGCGCTTGTGGATGGATGCCTGCCGCCAGCAAAGGTGCCATTAGGTCTGGAAGCAATTAGGGCCAGGCCTCTGGAGGTCAGCACCTGGGCCCCCTGCCCCGGCCAGGGCCAGAGTTGAGTGTGCGCTGGGGCGCAGGGGCAGAGGGCCAGAGGCCTGGGGCCCCAGGAGCAGCTGCCCACTCTGCCTAGAGAGCCACAGGCAAAGGCCCTGAATGCCCCCCACACGCGCAGAAGCCCCCTGAACAGGGCGAGTGGCGGCGACCCCACCCTGCGTTTACCCTGCGGAGGAAGCTGGGCGAAGGCTATTTAGGGGAGGTGTGGGAAGGCCTGTGGCTGGACTCCATGCTCGTGGCGGTCAAGGTCATCAGACCAGGTGGGTGGGGCCCCCTGGAGCCTGGGGCAGTGGCGGTGGGCAGCAGGTGGAGGGCCGGGTCCCAGAGCTCTGCCCTGTCCCACAGCTGGTGTGAAGGTTGCCGACCTGGCCCAGGAGATCCAGACGCTCACGAGCCTGGGGCACGAGTGCCTCATCCAGCTGCACG